TCTGACTCTTTATAACGTATGCATATAAAAATAAGTATATTTTTAAAATTAAAAAGTAAAGAGGACCTATAATAAATGTAATACTTACTGGTGAAACTTAGACAAATTGTCATTAAAGTTAGAATCATTGAAGATGTTTCTCTTCAGCATTGTACTGGATACGTAGCCTTCACAATAAGACAAGAAAAAGAAATAAGAGCTAAATGATTAGGGGAAAAGGACAAAAAAAATTATTGGTTTTTCAGACAATATTGTGTGCATAGATAATCCAAAATTATTTACAAACTACAGGAAAACTGCTAGATATAAGAAAACTCCTAGATATAAGATACAAAATCAATATTGTTCTCATACACTGGCAATAACCAATCAGTTATTAGAAATGTGGTGTACAAAATTATATGTATAATCACAACAGAAACCATAAGATGCATGGAAATTGTCAAAAGGTGGGAAGACATTTATGAATAAAATTATAAAACATTATTGAAGAACATAAGTTTTGACCTGAATAAAATCCTAAAGGTCAATGCTCCCCTAAATTAGTCCCTAGATTCAATGGTTCCAACCAAAATCTCAGCAGAACTTTTTGTGTAACCGCAAGCTGATAGAATATCTCATAATTTCAAAACTGTGAGAAATATTTTTAAAATAAGAACAAGGGGGAGGCTTGTTTTTGCCATATGTTAAAGTTCATTCTAAGCCTGTAGCACCTAACATAGTGAAATATTGGGACAAAGATAGAAAAATAAATCAATGGAACAAACCAGATATTCCAGAACTAGTCTTATAAAAATTGTGAAACTTGATATATTATACAGGTGTTAGCTGGGAAATGATGGGCTAGTCAATAAATGGAATAATTTGTCATTTGGGGGAAAAAATGAAGTTAGATTTTATCTTACACATCCACAAAAATGAATTCCAGATCAATTAAAGACCTAGCTATGAAAGACAAAAGCTAAACTTGTTAGAAAATATGGAGGAGGGGTGATAACTCTATTTTCAAGGTAGGGAACTCAAGATATGAAAAGCTGACATGATAAAAGAAAGTATTGATTACACTCTACTTTGAATTTTCTATCTAACAAATGACCCAAAACAAAGTTAGAAGATAAGCGACAGATGAGAGAAGATAATTGCAACATATCAGATTACATAAAAGATTCATATCAGAACACAAGGATCCTATAAATTGATAAGACAAACAACCCAATAAATTAGTTGTACAATTCACCAAAGAAAAGATCCAAACAACAAATAAATATATGGAAAGATAGTCAAAATAATTATGTTAGAGAAATATAAAAGCAAAATGAGACGCAATTTCACACCTATCAGACTGATAAAAATTTAAAAGTTTGTGAGGATGTTGGGATACTAAAATGCAGCTGGTGGGACAACTAATTTGGTACAACTAATTTAGGCATAAAACTCAGGATATGGCTTCATGTAGTTGAAAATTTACACATTATATGATATAAGAATACTTACAGCATATACTTCTAGATATACATCTGGGAGAACATACAGAGATATATAAGATCATTTATTGTCAGCAATAAAAATAATAAACGGCAAGGAAGAGAAGCTGGAAGTAACCCAAATTTTAAAAATAGCATAATTTTTAAAAAATCATTTATTTTTTATTTCAGATGTAACAATTAGGTTACACAATATTTGCATTTGTTAGGGAAGGCCTCTGTTGTAGTCGTACCCCATATCCAGGAGATGTGCCATATACAATAGGATAAATTTTTAGATAAGTATGTGTTCTATTCAGAAGCTTGAATACTATGCAGTGGTTAAAATCAATGAATTCTACCCAGGAGATATACCATATACAATAGGATAAATTTTTAGATAAAATGTGTTCTATTCACAAGCTTGGATACTATGCAGTGGTTAAAATCAATGAATTAGATCTCCCATTATTCAAAAATAATGTAGAATTTTAAAAGTAAGTTCCAGAATGGTACATAAAATATGATATCATTTATGTAATAATTTAAGAACATAGGTTTACACATCTATAATTTTAAATGAATATATCAATGAATGGATGATCAGAAGTAAGAACATGGACATAAGTATTAGTCTTCTTGAGAAGTTTTTCTGGGAAGTGGAAGGGACTGCAACAGGTGGAGGTAGGGGGATAGTGATTTAGGGGGGTTATAATTTTTGTAAATGAACGACACTAGAGCTTGTTTGCATATAGATGGGAATGATCTGGTAGGAAGACTTTATGATTATAACCTTTATAATTACTTGTAAAGACAAAATCCTTGAGAAGGGTCTGCGAGTGGTGGCTCATGCCTGTAATCCTAGCACTCTGGGAGGCCGAGGCAGGTGGATTGCCCTGAGCTTAGAGGCTGGAGACCAGCCTGGCCAGAGTGAGACCCCTTCTCTGCAAAAAAAAAAAAAAAAAAGCCAGGCATTGTGGCAGATGCCTGTAGTCCTAGCTACTTGGGAAGCTGAGGCAAGAGAATCACTTAAGCCCAAGAGTTGGAGGTGGCTGTGAGCTATGATGCCACGCGCTCTACCGAGGGCCACAACGTGAGCCTCTTTCTCAATAAAAAAAAATAAATAAATAAAATCTATTTTTAAAATTGCACTTTAAAAAAGAATCCTTGAGAAGGTGGAAGCATGGGTTGCAGAGCACAAAAGGCGGATACTACCACGCATTAGGTGAGAGATGTTAAGTGGGATGGAATGTTAAGTAGGATGAAATGAAGGAGCTGGATCTGCAGGTGTTTAGGAGGTAGAACCTTCAAGAAATGATGCTAACTAGATGTGTGGATGGGTGACATTGCAAAGGTGAGTCTTGTTTGATGAAAAGGCAAGAAAATAGGCCTTCTCGGCTGGGTGTTCTCTCAGACCTGCTCTTCTGAGTCTTCACCATGTAATTGTCTCTCCCAATGGACTTCTAATCTGCCCCAGTGAGGGTCCCAATGATCCATCGTGTAGGTATTGAACATAGGGTGAATTCACAACCAATATTATACAGTAACTTCTCTACTGAGCTGTAAGTTTCCTCGGGGTGGGATGGGGGTGTTTCTTTATCATTTTCAAGCTCAACACCAGGCCTTTCACACAGCAGGTGTTAGTTAACTTGGCCACAGCCTAAGGTATTTAATAAATGCTGCCCCTGTGATACCAGAAAACCACACTGGGCTGCTTCTAGACCTGCCTCTGCTACTTACCCTTCCCTAATCCCCCAGAGCAAGTCGCATAACTTCTCTGGGCCTCTGTTTTCTACCTCACAGGGTGGTTAACTGCGTTTAGAATATCGGAAGCACCTAATGAATACAAAACATGCAGATAAGCCCAGTGATTAAGACTTCCCTTGGAGACACAAGCTTTGGAAATGTCTCCTCTCTCCCCTCCCATCAAGTGCCGCCCAGGTACCCACGTCTGGCTCCTTCCGTTCCCCACCCCATTCCCCTCACCACCATTCCCCCTCTCCACAAACGTGCACACTTGCTCACTTTTTCTTCCTCCCTCTGGGGCTCCAAGACCCCCCTGAGAGCCGGAGGTCAGACGTCACTCCCGAGGACTGCTCCATCTGCGATGTTGCCTCGTCCAACCTGCCATCCCTGGAGATGCTGGATTTCTCGTTGGCTAACTGGGGGCCCCGGGCCGGGGCACGTGGGTAGGAAGAGTGACGGCCTCCCCCGCCCTCCCTCCGGCCGGCGTCCACCTGTCTGCAGAGACAGTCCCAGGGTTCCAGCGTGCCAGCGTGGAGGAGTACATTTGTCTGTCTGCGGGTCGGTGGGCCCAGCCGGCTGGTGAGTGCTCTTCTCCGGCACCCGGTCCCTGGTCCGCCCCCTCCTCTGTCCTGCCTCCCTACACCTCCCTCCCTCCCACCGGCAGCATCTCGGTCCTTCTGCGGGGTGGGTGCCTGGGAGTCTCACTCCGCCCTCTGTTGCAGGAGCCAACTGGCTGGCCCCGAGCGGCGGCCGGGCCTGGCTGCGAGCCCATAAAACCCCGCTGCGCTCCGCTGCCGCCTTGTCGCCGCCGCCGCCCGCGGATCCGAGCCTGGGGACTTAGCTGGGGCTTCCAACCCTCAGTGCGACGCCGAGGCTTGAAGGCATCTGCTCCCCCTACCAGAGAAGTTTGGAGAAAGTGAACTTGGGGCGGATTTGGGAGCGGTGGCAGTTGCCCCAGCCTTCTCCGCCTTCCAGAAGCCTCACTCGGCACAGCGTCACCTGTTCTGCCCATTCTGATACCCTGTCTCCCTGCTCCCTCCTTCTCTTCTCTCCTGGGTCCCTGTCCCTACACGGGGATCAGCAATCTCAGCTGCATTTTTTCTTTGCTTACTTCATTCTCTGTCCCTGTCCTCTGAACTATTTCCCTCTGTTTTCAAGCCTTCCCCCCGTTAGTCATTCCCACTTTTCTCCTTTCTCTTCACCTTAAACCTTTCCCTTGCCAGTCCTCTGTACCCATCAAGCCTCTCCGCTTGCAGCCACAGTCTCCATCCATCTTCTCCCGCCTCTTCTTCCCTCTCAGCAAACCCTGACCATGGATTCTGGGCCTCTTTGGGCTGGCAGCCCGACCCCTCAGGGCACCCTCTCTGTCCCTAATGCCACGATACCTTGGCTAGGTCGGGATGAGGAGCTGGCCAAGGTGGAGATCGGAGTCCTGGCCACTGTCTTGGTGGCGGCCACAGGAGGCAACCTGGCCGTGCTGCTGACCTTGGGCCAACTGGGCCGCAAGCGCTCCCGCATGCACCTGTTCGTGCTGCACTTGGCCCTGACCGACCTGGCTGTGGCGCTCTTTCAGGTGCTGCCCCAGATGCTGTGGGACATCACTTACCGCTTCTGGGGCCCTGACCTCCTCTGCCGGGCCATCAAGTACCTGCAGGTGCTCAGCATGTTCGCCTCCACCTACATGCTGCTGGCCATGACACTGGACCGCTACCTGGCTGTCTGTCACCCCCTGCGCAGCCTGCGGCAGCCCAGCCAATCCACCCACCCCCTCATTGCTGCTCCCTGGCTGCTGGCTGCCATCCTCAGCCTCCCTCAAGTCTTCATTTTTTCTTTGCGGGAGGTGGCCCCAGGCTCGGGGGTGCTGGACTGCTGGGCAGACTTCCACTTCCCCTGGGGGCCACGGGCCTACCTCACCTGGACCACCCTGGCCATCTTTGTTCTGCCCGTGGCCATGCTCACGGCCTGCTACAGCCTCATCTGCCACACCATCTGTAAAAACCTAAAAGTCAAGACACAGGCTTGGCGGGCGGAAGGAGGGGGCTGGAGAACTTGCGACAGACCCTCAGCTGGTGTCCCAGTGGGAGCCACTCAGGGGCTGCCGTCCCGGGTCAGCAGCATCAGTACCATCTCTCGGGCCAAGATCCGAACCGTGAAGATGACCTTCGTCATCGTGCTGGCCTATATCGCTTGCTGGGCCCCCTTCTTCAGTGTCCAGATGTGGTCTGTGTGGGATGAGAATGCTCCTGATGAAGGCAAGTGTGGGGTCTGTGTGCGGGCAGTGAGGCTGGAAAGAGCAGGAAGGGAGGCAGGAGGGTTAGGGCAGGTCACAGTGCTTCCCAGGGCCAGGGAGGTGACAACCAGTCAAGCAATTAAGAAAGCTGTTGCCTATTCCACATGAAAAGGGGCAGTTACAGCTCCCATCCAGCCTACCAAGGCCATGGGAGTTTCTCTTATGTAAAATTTCCTGATTTTAAAATATTGGCAACTAATTTAACAATTTAAAATACTCTGTGGCACTAGTGAAATACGACTGTTGGCAGATTTGGTCAGCCGACTGCCAGTTTGTTAGATGGACTTCAGAATCATAGAATGATAGAGCTGGAAGGGATTTTCCCATGATCCAGCCCAGGAGGCGATTTGTGACCCATGAGCTGTCTCAGCTCTCTTCCCTCCTGCATCTGGACATGACGTTGAGCCCCCCCCATCTCATTGGCCACCTCCAATTAAGATTGGCATAGGACAGCCCTGAAATTACAACTTCAACCCCTTCATTGTGCTAATGAGGAAACAGGAGCCAGAACTTGCCCCGGAGTGCTCATCTGGGGAGTGAGAGTGAAGAATAGACCCCCAGCTGTCTGTCTTCTTGTCTTTTCTCAACTTCACTCATAACTCTGGTTCTGAAAGTGGTTCTAAACAGAGGGAGGCCTTCCCCCTACCTGGAAAACAAAATGGGACCCTCCAAGAGGACTGTGATCCAACTGGCACATGGAAGGCCTTGCTCTCATCATTTTCTGGCTTCCTGAGCTTTAGACAGGGCTTGATGGTCCTACCATATGGAGGCAAGCTTGTTCTGGAAAGCAGGAACTGTGTCTGGGCAGCCTAAGTGAGGGAGAGTGGTACTCAAAGACATCTCTCCTCCTGCCCTTAAGCAGGAGTAGGGCATGGAGACTTGTGCATGTCAACCTGTCTGGGTGGCTGTGAAGAGAGGTGACTTGACCTGCGGTGCATCTCACAGTGTGAACAGCTCAGGATGCTTAAGGGGTGCAACATGCAACTGCCCTAGGGAGGCCCTGAGGGCAGGCTTTTCTGGAAGCCTCCTGAGACTTCACTGACCAGCCACTGACTTAGGTTACACCAGCAGCCCTTGGGGACTTGTCCCTTCTCTTGTGTTTTTATTTCTAATCTTGTTTTGTTCTTCCTAGGACATGCTCAAGCCAAATGCTTTGCTTTTGCTGAGAGATGGAATAGGGAAAGGCTAGTTATGAATTTAGCACAACCATGAAGGCGAAACGCAAAAATAATACCAAACCATTAAGGTCTCACTGATCCCTTGTGCCATCAGTCTGGATAAGAGGCTATTTGCAAATTATCCTTAAGCAATAAGTAAGCATATTAATTTAATTTATTTTGTGAGTTAGAGTCTTCTTCTGTTGCCTGGGCTAGACGCAGTGGTGTCACCATAATAAGCATATTAATTCTCACCAACTGTAGGGATCTCCCTGCTCTAGCTAAGCATAAAATAGAAGGAAGAAGGGTTTCCTAGTGCCAAGCACATTTGGTCCTCATGCTACTGAAAGATGGCTTTCTCTATTTAACATCTTGAGTAACTGAGGCTCAGAGAGGCAAAAATAACTGGTCCAGAACGCCGCTGCTCTTAAGAGATGGAGCTAGGACTTGAATTGGGGTCCTTATGGGCCAAACTTTATCTATGACATGGCTTTACTCCCCTAAATTTCAGCTTAGCCAATAGCTCCCAGGGGTGAGATGGTCATTTGCCCTTTATGGAGGGGACAACAAGAAGATGAAGATCCTGCTGTTCAGCCAGTGCAGATTTTCTTTCCTGCTGCAGGTGGCCGCTGTCACCAGGACCCTTCCAGGCCTCACCCCTCGCCTATGTAGAGTGATTTGCCACTTACTAAAGGCCATTCTGAGCAAGGTGTGCAAGAACAAAGTGTTATCTCACAGACAGTGTCCTTCCTCAGAAAAAGGAAAAACCTTTGGTCTGAGACTCGTTACTTTACTTTCCAGGTCCCTTCCACGACACGCTGGTCCCTGGCCCCAGGCCCCGAGTCTGTGGCAGAGTGTGCTGGTCTCCCTGCCCCTGCTCCTGCCCCTGCCCCTGGCTGTCAGCTGAGTTTCTGCCAGGATGCAGTGGCTGCCGCCTGGACTGTGTATGGTGCATCTGCCCCTGGGTGCTGGGAAGTGAGGCCTCTGCTGACGCCGGTACTTCCTCTGTGGCACATCTCCAGCCACTGTTCTGGGCCTGTCTTAGATGGACCAAAGCAAACAGATACTTCCTAAGTGCAGGAACTTGTGGAACTCCTTTGTTCTTGGCTTAATCTGAGCACTAAATGTGCATTGACAGAGCAGACAGGATGAATACCATCCCCCCTCCCCACGGCCCCCCCCACCCCCCCCCCCCCCCCGCCCCAGCCAAAGCAACTTCCAAAGTCTTTTGCAGCTTGTGGTTCTATGTTACCAGGAAGCAGACCAGAACCCAGGCAAAACTGAAGGATCCTGAGTGTGCTATTGAGGCTGCCCCCCTACATTTCCAGGCGCTCCCCCCTTGCCCTCACCTCTGTGTCCTAGACGTGTCCATCCAGGCCCAGCTGCCTACAGCCTCCTCCCCTATGACTTGAACCTTCTGTTAAATCTTCTTGCCCTTTTCTTGGGCCATGAAGGGCTACACCTGTGAACACACCTATGAAACATGTGCACAAGGAATTAATGTTTCCGAAGCTTTCACTGTGCTTTACAGAACCGGCACTTGAGTTTTGCCCTTGAGTTTGCTGGTTGAAGTTCCTGCAGGATCTCTGCCTTAGAGCTGGGAAACTTAGGTTTGAGTGGCAGTTCTTATTAACTGTGCTGTAACAGTTGGAAAGTTTACCCTGAAGACTCCTTCCAGCTTTGACATTGCTTTTGATGATTCCGCAACCTCCCCTGAAAAGCAAGGGAACTCAGCACGCATCTCTGCCACTGCTGTAACCCATCCCTGCAACTTTCCTGCTGGCACCAGGAGTTTCATTTAGTCTTTAGAGAGAATATTGTGTCTGGAAGGCATCTTATCAGATTAGCATGCTCACATTTTGACTGCTCAAAAGAGAAATTAGTTTTTCCCAGCAGGAAGTTGCATTCCCTCAGTAGAACCTGAGAACACAGAATAAGTACGGGTCTGCAGTGGGATGCTTGAACAACTGTACCTAGAAGCATCGCCCTCTGCTGCAGTTAGTGATAATGGCATAGGTACCCGTGGGGCAGTCGTGCTCCACTGATTGTCTTGCCAGACCCCCTGCAAAAGGCCTGGCAGAGTCAGTGTCCACATACGCAATGACTGTCAGAGTGGGTGGGACTGTCCCCAAGGGCTGGAGAATCCAGAAGGCGATGTGAATCCACGATCTGTGACATAAGCAGGGGCAGGTGTGGCAGAGGCCTGAACTTGGTCATTTTCCCTGTGTGTTTTATGGAAATTGTAGCATCGTAGGTCTACATCCATTAGGGGATTCGAAGTCTAAGTTTTGGAACAAAAAAGGTTTCTCCTATGGGCTGGTCCGACCCCTGGCAGTGTTCACACTTCTCAATTCAACTCAAGCAAACCTCAGCTCCTACTTTCACTTGTCATTACAAAACAAAACCCAAAAATAATCAGTGAAGTAAGACTGTGGAGTCAGGAGTGCAAGTTCAAGTCCTAGCTGTGCTCATCTCTAATTATAGAAGCCCAAGTGATTCCTTTTGAGCTGTCATTCTACGGCTCCTCGTGCTTCTCTCTTGGCAGATTCCACCAACGTGGCTTTCACCATCTCCATGCTTTTGGGCAACCTGAGCAGCTGCTGCAACCCCTGGATCTACATGGGTTTCAACAGCCACCTATTGCCACGCCCCCTGCGTCATCTTGCCTGCTGCGGACGTCCCCGGATGCAACGGCAGCTCTCCAATGGTAGCATCCTGAGCCGCCACACCACGCTGCTGACGCACTCCAGCTGCTCACCCACCCTCAACCTCAGCCTCAGCGAGAGACCCAGGCCCATAGAGTCACTGACTCTGGAGCAGGTGGATGGGGAAGCCGCCACTGAGACCAGCATCTTTTAGGGAAGGCTCCCTGGAGTTTGGCAGTGCCCCCAGGACTAGTGGCAGGCCTCTGCCCACCTCAGGCACTGAGTGTAGATCTGAAAGGGTCAGCACTGGACTCTAGGGGAGCCTAGTCCAAGGCCGAGTGATGAGGCCAGAATGAGTCCCCTTGTCTGGGTGTCACGGCTACCACTAGTGTGAGGGCTGCCCTCATGAGCTCCCAATCTCAATGGTAGGCGTCAGGGAGAATCAAACTGCTTGTCTCCCTGGTTCCGCCATTTTCACTGTGTGTCTGAGAACACACTCAGCTGGAGAATATGGAGCTCCAGACCTGGGCAGGCTTAGGATGGAGCTGTATGGGGTTCCACAGGTGGCAGGAACTCAGAGGCTTGACTCAGGCCTTAGCTACCTGTCCCCATTCTAACCTGACTAGCTTGACCTAGAGAGGGGAGAAATAAAAAACTGTGAGGTGAGAAGGACTCTATTTTAATCCTGATCCTATTTTGAGAGGATTGCTTAATGAAGAACTGTGAATTGGTATGTGGGGCTTCCCTGCTATACCCACCTCTCTCCTGAAGGGAGATGGATGACCTAATGAAGAGGCAGGATTTAGTATAGCACCTGTCACATAGTAGGGACTCTGCCACTGCCAGTTCTTCTTCTCCCTATGCCACTCCCTACCCCATTACAGGGTGGGTGATGGGGGAAAGTCATGTATACCCTCAGTGGCATGGCCCACTGGGAAGAAAGAGGGAAGGAGGGGGTGAAAATGGTCATAATGAAATTAAGAGCAGGAGTAAAACTTAGAGGCAACAAGGCCTGGCTGCCCAGCCTCCTCCAGGGCTCCTAGGGATCCAGACTGCCCTGGCTGCACAGAAGAGACATCCCTTGCCAAAGGGTGGCATGATCATGACTCTGGACATCCTCAAGGGTCTTTGGAGTTTCCACCATAAATTGCATAGATGCTGAGATCAAGTCAGGAGCCCAGGATTTGAATCTCAGCTCTGTATTCAGGCTTCTGTACAACTTTAGGTGAGTTACCACCCTTATCCAGGACTCAGTCTCTTCACCTATAGAACAGGTAAGATACCTTCAGAGGTCTTTCCAGGATCTAACCCTCCATGACTTTGCAAGACTGGAAAGGATGTTATAATAGAGAAATACAAAGTGTGTTCTAATGAACAGGCTCTAGAAAAATTGTTCAATTTTCATAACAATGACATTTATACCCCTTGACTCAATTTTGGTGACTGTGGATCCCTTCATGGCCATACTGTCCACTTTTGTCTTCAGTCCTATGATGCTGAATCTTCCTCTGAGGCTGATAGTCTACAAGGCTAAGTAGGACCTGAGGCCTTGCTCTGCTCCTCATTATCTCCAATGGGACTCCAAAGCTTCCCCACCCAATTCTGGCTTTAATCTTAGAGATAGACTTGGTGGTGGAAAGAGCTTCAGTGGAAAAATCAGGAGCGCTGGATCCTGGTTCTGCCATCACCAATGACCAACATCAGTAAAATGCTGGCTAATCATTTCTCTCTCCATTCTGAGGGTCAAATAAGAATGTGGATGTAAAAATGATTTGTAAACCCATGAGCCCTATGCTAAGATATGGAATTATTAATCTAGTCAAGAGTTCCTGAAGGAAGCTCTAGAGATGACTCCTGAGGGAGCTAGGAGAAATGACTGTGGCTTTGCAGACATACTTCTTTCAGAGCACACTCAGTTCTAAGAAGCCTCCTTAGGCTTTCTTAAAAGAAAAGACCTGATCTGAGTGTTGCTAGTGAGCAAAGCATCCCAGCCCTTTAGTGCCAGAGAACTGGAGAGTGTGACTAAGGTTCAGGCAGCGGGAGGACCCACTGCCAGGACTCTTCCCTGGGTTCATGCCGGTGTTAGCCTCTGACATTCAACCACTTCCCTGTCCATCTGCCCTGGTGCAGCTGGGCTTAGGAGCCACCCATGTCAGCCAGAGCTCGTCAAGTTGCTCCTTCCTCTCCTTAAATAAGGTGCCCACAGCTCCATGCCCCATCTTCAAACCACAGTTCCTGACCATAGTGCCTTATTACAATGACTAGGTGGTAGAGGTAGAAAGAACACCAGTGAAAGATATATATATATATGCCAAAGATCTGGATTTGAGTTTGTTTTTTGAGACGAGTCTCAAGCTGTTGCCCCAGGTAGAGTGATGTGATGCCATAGCTCACAGAAACCTCAAACTCTTGGGCTTAAGCAATTCTCTTGCCTCAGCCTCCCAAGTAGCTGGGACTACAGGCTCCCGCCACAATGCCTGGCTATTTTTTGGCTGTGGTTGTCATTGTCGTTTGGCAGGCCCGGGCTGGAATTGATCCCACCAGCTCCGGTGTATGTGGCTGGCGCTCTAGCTTCTGAGCTACAGGCGCCGAGCCTGGATTTGAGTTTTGATCTCACTCCTTTTCTGCCTCTGTGAACTTGAGCAAGTTATCCAATCTCTCTGAACAACACTTCCCATTTATTAAATCAAAATAGCAATGTCCACTTTGGGGGTGGGGCGAATTTATAATTTTAAAGTCTATACTGATTTTAGAGAAGATAATGATGGCCTGGCTCCAGATTGCATCTGGTGGGTGACTTCTGGGGCCTGGGCCTAGGAGAGTCTACAGTTCAGAGAGGATAAGGGAAGACCTGGATTCAGGGTGACTGAAGCACTGGCCTGGTCTACTCTTTACCTTCAATAGCCTCCCCCTTTTTTCTTGCATTGCTCAAGGGAATCTCCTGATGGCGGTGGCATGGGGCATCTCTGTTCCTCCCATGGAAAGGGTGCACTTGGTCTTTTCCAGAAAGCGAGTTCTATCCTATGATAAGTCTTTTAGGGAAAATTGGGCCTTGGGACCCCATTCCAGGAAGCTCCTAAAGGCAGTGGTACGATGCCATCTGGATCTGTGAATGACAGTTTTGTGGGACCTGTAGGAAGCTCTTGTGGACAGATGGGGGCCAGTGGAAGAATCATGGATATGGTTCAAAGAGGCAGGCCTTTGTGGGAAGCAAGAAGGAGCTCTGTGCTCTCTTGGGTCAATCCCATTTCCAACAGCTAACTCCAGGAGAAACTGGTCAGCGCTGCCTCTGGGCTGCACACTCACATAAGGTGTTTATGCCTCCTGTGGACTGTACTTTAGTCCCTTAAATGCCATGTAGGAGCGGGAGGTGAGGGGAAGGCAGGGCAGAGAGGATGGTGGGGGCGGGTAACCAGCTGACTGTGGGGATTTCTCAGTATGGCTTTTCATGTTATTTTATATAGGCCAGTAATTCCCAGATGACTGTGTCTGTGTTTTGCATGTAAATAGATATTTTATCTCTCCAGGAGATATAGATTCAGCCCAGGCTATAGCAGTTTACTCCTGGGTCATGAACCCAGAGATATGGTTGAAATTGACCAATAAAATTCTTTAATATCCAAGAAATGTCTGGATGTTTTCATTTCCTGTGGACAACGATAATGGGATATGCAAGGTAAATTTAAAATGTGATCTTGAGCGAAGGGGTGAGGGAGTGGGTGAAGTGACCTAGGAGCCCCTGCCCTCCTTAAAGTGGGAAAAGCAAAGTATCTTGGAGTTTGTCCTGGAGCCACAAGGTGGCAGTGTGGAGCTGAAAGAGAGTCTGGGCTAGGGTAGCACCTTCCTGAGAATCTGGATGAGGCTCCTTCTCCAGCCAAATATTGCTGAGACCCCATAGACGTGCTTACTTCTCCTGGAGGGTCTGTAGTGGTAATCACCCACAGAGGCAGGCTGGGAGAGTCATCCAGCCTCTCAACATGAATGCCATAGTGCATTTTCTTCTGAAGTTCTAAAGATTCTTAGCTAAGGTGATCAGAAGTTCCACTTTTGGCAGGATAGTCCAGATTTTTAACAATTTCTTCTGCGTCCTGCAGCATTTTAAAGAAGCTCCAGTTTTCAGAAAGAATGCATGACAAGGTAGGGAACACGGGAGAACAGGAAGGGAATATATGGTTTTCGGCTGCCGTGTGGCTATTTTGCCAGGATATGCGTTTTATATTATTTTTGTTAATTTTATAATGTTAAACTTTAATAACAAATAATTGTTGAGAACTAATTATCAAGAACTGTTTATCAAAGTTTGCATTGTTGTCAGGCCCCGCCCCCCCAGGCCCCACCCCACCCCCAATGGTGTCATGCTTTACCAATGTTAAAATCTGGTCACCTTATTCTTGGCCTGTCATTTGACCCAGTCCCTGTGAAATACCTGGACGTATACTTCCTTCTCTCTAAGCCTGTGGAGGACGTATTGGCAAGGCAGTGAGACACATGGGTGAGTATTTAAGGGTGCTAGCAAGATCTCAAGAAACCACATAAGCTAAAGTTACTTTACTGTGTTCTGCTTTAGAGACTTGGGGCCTGGGTTAGGAGACCTCTTGAGAACACTCAACTGATTCAAGGAACAAAACAGACCCACTGATATTGAGCATACAATGTCTCCTCATCCTAGCAGGTTTGGTTGGCTAATAAGATTCTCATGGAGTTTTGCTGCTTCCCATGTGGGCATTTGGGTGCTTACTCCTTTAGAATAAGAATTCATTAGAAACAGGTCACATGTATTGTGGTTTATGTTCCCTGTTCGTTGTTGGCATATGTAACCGGCCATCTACTGGTTGCTAATAACAAATCAATGTTTATGTATTTTATTATCAGGTGATTTTGGAGAGTTATTTAATCGAGTCCTCGCTTATGTGGGAACCCGGGGAGGGGGGGCAGCATGATTGTCCCCTGGAGTACCAATGCCATATAATACCATGAAAGAATGTGACTTCATTGAACTGGACACTGTGCTCCTCAAAGGGTGATTACTCACACAGGTGACTATTTGTACAGATTTAGATTTTTGTGACCCTCTGTCACAAAAAAGACCATTTTATTGATCATCATGGCTTACAATGATTTTAAGAATTATTTCAAACTGTTAACTGGCCCGAGTCATCAGCTTATCTATTGGCTCAAAGTCCTTAGGAGGCAAAATCAACCTTCATTCTTATTTATTAGGGCATCTAAGGAGTCATTGAAGTTCCAAACTCTGGGTCACTTGGTGGAGTCACATTTTCAATTCTACTCTTTTTCTTTTTTTAGACAGAGTCTTATTCTTCTGCCTGGGCTAGAGTACAATGGTGTCATCATAGCTCACTATAACCTCAAACTCCTGGGCTCAAGCAATCCTCCTGCCCCAGCTTCCTGAGTAGCTGGAAATACAGGTGCACACCACCATGCCTGCCTAATTTTGGGTATTGCTTTGCTCAAGCTGATCTTGATCTCATGAGCTCAAGTAATCCTCTTGCCTCAGCCTCCCAAAGCACTAGGATCACAGGTGTGAGCCCCTGCACCCAGCCTCAACTCTACTCTTCAACAGCACTCTCCAAGAATACCTTCAGCTTATAAGCAATCAGAGTGGGTGCTAATGTTAACCTATATGATATATTTGCTATAAATATCCCATCGTTGAAACAGAGTGCATTATAGACCTTAATCAGATTGTCTATAGTACTCCACAGACTCTGGTCTCTGGTACCCCCAACATCAACTCCCTGCTTCGCAGCATTGCACATGGCAGCGTCCAAGCCCAGACCCAGGTACTTCTCCAGACAAGTCAGCTCAGGTCAGTCCCTCCAGCATTCACAGAGAACCCGTACTGGGCCAGGCTGTTCCTTTTCTTTCATCTGTTGATTTTCTACCCATTTTTCTAAAGTGAGGTCACAAATCACCTCTCTTAGAGATGTTTCTCTAATTAATTCCACCTGATCCTAACATTTCGCCCCCAGCTCTAAACACTGACAGGCTTTGTTTCCTTGCTCTGTGTTAATACCCTTTGTTACATGTTGTTTTGTACATGTTCTCAGCCTCTTTCCTGTCCCTAGAAGTGGGACAGACATGCCTTGACCCCACCCTGATAATCCCAGATGATCAAGTCTTTTTATTTCTATCTCCTCCCACCTCTCAGGGACTATTCTAGAATTCTGGAGAAAGCAAGCTAGCCCGTGTCACCCTTGTTGTCCCCTCCCCTGGAGTAGGAACTGCACAGTCTCTCTCGGGTGCACTGCAACTTGTCTGAACCTTTTCATCACACTCTTGAATTCTTTTTTTCCTTTTTAAAAGAAGTCAGTAAGAAGTAGAGATTCATTTCTTGATGCAAGGACACTGTTGTTATTTTTGTTGGTGTTTATTCCTCATTCATTCTGCCTCTCTAATCAGTAAAACAGCTCTTTAAGAAAAAAGTTTCAGGAGAGTAACAATAGAACCTAAAAGGTGAAGGGACAAACAGATCAGCAAAAATTTTAAGCCCTAGAAACCCAAACCAGGTCCATCCTTTCCCTTCCCTTCCCTTCCCTTCCCTTCCCTTCCTTTCCCTTCCCTTCCCTTCCCTTCCCTTTTCTATTCCCTTCTCTTTCCTTCTCTTTCCCTCTTCCTTCCCTCCCCTCCCCTTTTCTCTTCTCCTCTCCTCTCCTCTCCTCTCCTCTCCTCTCCTCTCCTCTCCTCTC